GTTTTTGAGTTTGTCCTTATACGTGAACGAGAAGAGAACATAGGCTTCTCCATTTTACCAAAAATTCGGTCTCACGGCACCTCCATGAATAAAAAAGTTGGATGTGGATACGAGAAACGAGAGGACAGGATCCATGTAAACAATCAGAGGAGCGCTATAAATATACAGATTCCTTTCTCTTTTGTGATGTATAAAGGTACATAACCAATGCAACTCGAACTGGCTACTACCATTCTAGAAGAAAACATTCATAGGTACATATGCACACGAGAAAACTGTCTTGCACGTAATTCTCATAGTGAATCTTTGGTTAACCGAGCACTCTGAAACATTTCCTGCAAAAGAGAGAATCCCAGATGTCATGGGAGGAAAAGAATGACGTTTGTGCGACAATACTAATTACATTCAAATGGCACCGGGTGACTCAAATAATTCCATTAGCAAAGAAAGGGGAAAAGTGCCAAAAAAGTCCTAAACCTTTTGCATTAGTGCCAATTTAGTCCTAAACCTTTTTTTGGTGCCAATTCAGTCCTAAACCTTTTGCACTGGTGCCAATTTAGTCCTAAACCTTTTTTTTGGTGCCAATTAAGTCCTAAACCTTTTAAATTGGTGCCAATTCAGTCCTAAACCTTTTATTTTTGTGCCAATTTAGTCCTTCCGGTCAACTTTGACCGGAATTTGCTGACATGGAGCCTGCCGGCCGGCGGCGGTCACCGGCGCCGACGTGGCGCTGACGTGGACAAATTAAATAATATTTTAATATTTTTTGAATTTTTATTTTTTTCCTTTTTTTTCTTTTTTTTTCCACTTTTTTTTTTTGGTTTCTTCTTCATCTGGCCGGTCGCCGGTCCGGCGACCGGCCAGAGGCCAGTGGCCGGCGAGCTCGACCTCGCCGGCCACTGGGAGGCCGGCCACTATCCGGCGAGGGCGAGCCTCGCCCAACCATGGCGAGGCTCGAGCTCTCGCCGGAGGCCGCTGCGAAGGCGAGCCTCGCCATGGTCGGGCGAGGCCCGACCTCGCCGGATCTGGCGAGGGCGAGCCTCGCCCAGCCGCCGGCGAGGCTCGACCTCGCCAGATCCGGCGAGGTCGGGCCTCGCCCGACCATGGCGAGGCTCGCCCTCGCCGCGGCCTCCGGCGAGGGCTCGAGCCTCGCCATGGTCGGGCGAGGCCCGACCTCGCCGGATCTGGCGAGGTCGAGCCTCGCCGGGGCGAGGCTCGCCCTCGCCGCGGCCTCCGGCGAGGGCTCGAGCCTCGCCATGGTCGGGCGAGGTCGGTCCTCGCTAGCGGCTGGGCGAGGCCCGACCTCGCCAGATCCGGCGAGGTCGAGCCTCGCCCGACCATGGCGAGGCTCGGCCTCGCCGGGCGAGGCCGCCCTCCCCAGTGGCCGGCGAGGTCGAGCTCGCCGGCCACTGGCCTCTGGCCGGTCGCCGGACCGGCGACCGGCCAATGAAGAAGAAACCAAAAAAAGTGGAAAAAAAAAGGAAAAAAAGGAAAAAATAAAAATTCAAAAAAAATATTAAAATATTATTTAATTTGTCCACGTCAGCGCCACGTCGGCGCCGGTGACCGGCCGCCGGCCGGCAGGCGTCCACGTCAGCAAATTCCGGTCAAAGTTGATCGGAAGGACTAAATTAGCACAAAAATAAAGGTTTAGGACTGAATTGGCACCAATTTAAAGGTTTAGGACAATTGGCACTAAAGGTTTAGGATTAAATTGGCACCAATGCAAAAGGTTTAGGACTAAATTGGCACCAAAAAAAGGTTTAGGACTAAATTGGCACTTATGCAAAAGGTTTAGGACTTTTTTGGCACTTTTCCCGCAAAGAAAGCCTCTGGGTTAATGCAGCATAAAGTCAATAACATGGCCAAATAAATATCTTTTCTAAGAGATTGATGATGAAAGACAATCAAGATAGTCTCAAAACTTCCAAAAATCACAATGAAGAAGCTAGCAACCAAAAGAGTGAAGAAATACAGCTGCTACAGAATCCAGAAAGACATGACTCGTTCTTGGATTTGACAAACTTTGACAATTTTTAGTATGTAGTGCAATACCTCGTCAATTTAAAGTCCCACATGATATGGCATGGCTTGATTTTGGCATAAACTCTATTAGCATTATTTTGGCCCACTTGTTTTCGAAGGACCAGCTCTCTCCACCATGACATCATATAGTTGCTTCCCATTCTGATATTTCAAGGAAAATAGTCATAGATTAGATTTCGAACCTTCACTGGCTCCACAACCTAAAAGCAGTGAGAAGCTGAACAAGATGCTGCATGGTTTTGCAGCAATTGCAATTTACTTATATCTTTTACTTACAAAAATTACTGGAAAGAAATGCACTTGTCCCTCGGGTTTTGTTTGTGTCTCTTTGAAGTACACAAGGATAGGAAAATTTGGCCACCAGAGCTCCCAATTCACAAAGGTGGAGTATCTGAAGAGATGCAGAATGCAAAGCAGCGGCTTCTATTATAACAGGAAGGAGTTTTTTTTCCCAAGTTATTGGAGCAACTAAATACTTACTTCCACCGATTTTTCCCCCCTACAAAGACATTTTCACCTGATTCTTGAAGCTCCTCTCCAACTTTCACCTCCTAAGATTATGAAATATTATAGCACCATGCGGTGAATTTATGCAACCAGTAAGTTATGTCATGTTTCTTATAAAATCCAAAACCCATGAAACCAGGGAGCTGGGTAGCCTAAAATTACTTTGAGTCAATCTCATAGCATATGACTTGACAAGAAGAATCATCCTCCTGTAACAACTAACTGATCTTTTTGAGATTTTGAAATGAAGGGAAATTCTTTAGGGTGGTCATGGCTCAAGCTAAAGTTACTATGACATGGCTCAAAGCCTTAAACTACACTTACTAAGACATAATATGAGTAATGGAAGAATTCCGGAAATAATGAAAGTAAACATACGATGGAAGAAACTAGTGAATCATGGTATTAAACCATCTTCAGATTCCAATTGTTGCATAATAGGTGGAGTCAGTTCAGATTGACACATCAGCTCAAAGTACTCTCTAACTGAGGATGATCTTAAATAGAGAATAACAAAAGCAGCAGCTTCAGCTTCCAGAATTACAATCGCCAAGGTCCACCTTGAACTTTTTAAGTCAAAATAGTGAAGGGCCAGAACCATGCTTGAGTGCAAAAAATTCAGACAATAGAGATATAGGTCAGGAGAATCTTCTTCTATCACAATACACATAGAGACAAGAACACCACATTAGTTTTCTTGTCAATTAGCTCATGCATGAATTGCACACTTGCGATGAAGATCGATAAACGTACCAGAGCCTCATTATCAAAGACAAATCTCACTCTAGTAGTCTGGATCAGAAGGGGAAGAAAGAAAATAGAGTCAGCATTTAGGCAAACTAAATCACAATTCGCATTGATTAATAAGCAGACATTGTCGAAGGAAACTCAGAATCTTTAACTAGTTATTGACTAAGGAAGCAAATTTGGGTGGCATGTCAGACAAGAATTTTCTACTACACTTTAAAACCTACATGCAAATATTGATCCTTAATTATGGGTGAGGATCCTCTACTACTTGCTGTGCTCCCCTTGATGTCTCAACAAATTTCAACCGTTGATAAAAGTCTCATTTTCATGAATCATTGGTTGAGATTTATTGAGGCACCGGGGGGAGCACCGTACCGGTAGAGAATCCATATGCCTTAATTGTAACATCACCTGAAATAATAAGAGCAGACCAAGTAGACCAACAGGGGCAGCAGGTAACAGATTATTTGTATAGGCTAATCCACCAGCCATACCTGATTCAAATCAACATTCCTGTTAGCTTCTTCGTCGCCGTTTGACCATTTAGCAACTGATCTATTTTTTCTTAATGACAGTATATATGAACATCCAAGCAGCGAATTCTAAAGATTTGGAAAAATGAAACAGTCAAGATTGGTTCAGTAGCCAGTATGATAAGCCCCAAATCAAATATTACGACAGGAGGATTACATACTTCTGAAGGTTCACCTGAATCATCCTATCACAATTAAGTTTGTGGAGAGCGAGTAGAAGCAAACTTCAACGTGAGAAAAGCAATGTTATAGGGCACTTACCGAGTAAGACAATCGGTATTCTATAATCAGGGTCAGGAACTACAGTCTCTCTCTGGGTGACCTTCCTCCCAAGCCGTCATACATTACAATGACCAACTGTATCAGGCCATAGCTCCCCGAAGAGCTCCAAATTCACAAGTATCAAAATTACCAAAACAGTTAAAGACAAGCCCTTTTCTTGTACATCACAACAACGAGTCCCACCCAGCAAAACAACATTATTGTGCTAAGCCAAGTTTTGAACGCAAAAAGACTGAATTCAAGATATGACAACAGACAAGAAGAGGCGAAGAAGAGCAACCAACCACGGAGGCAATCTCAAGGCGTCCTCTCGCGCTGCTGCTGATTTCCCTCCTCACAAGATTGGCTTTGGAAAGCAACTCGCCATGAAATGAGCTCCTGGAGCTCCTAACGCGGAACCCACCAGTGTCTCCTCTATCTGTTCAAAATGGCGCATGTAAGAGACCACAAGAAGCTGTTCCTCAATCCCAACGAAAGCAGCACAGCGAATCAACAGCAAATAGCTCAAAAAGGTGAGCTTTTGAACCTTCAAAAACTGTAAATGAACGAGCTTTGATTTGCTTACTTCTTGACGGGAGGAAGAGACTGGTGGACAAGAGAGCACTTGCCATACTCTCTCTCTCTCTCTCTCTCTCTCTCACCTGTTTTACAAATAAAGAAGAAAATTTGAGCTCTGGTTCTGCAAGCGCAAGCGAACCACTGCACCCCCAAAAAAGAAAATGTTTTCGCTGCAGACAGTGGAATATTACCCTTAACCCCCTCTACTCCAATTACTGCTTGCCATGGGTGTGGAGGGTATTTCGGTAAGTTTATGTTTGTGGTTGTCCCCATTCTTGAAACCACGAGCGCCTTATCCTGGGCATTAGCGGCAAAAACACCTCGGCTGCTCTGTTATTTTCATCTCCTCTCGTTTTTTAGGTTGAGTTCTCCCGGTTGTACTCGGTCCAACACAAGCACGAGGGAGCTTGAGCATCCTCTTTGACATGGCGAATTCTCTATGCTTTGCTCCGACTTGTTCTGTCCGGCCTCCACCCAGAGTGGGTACTTCCTCTTCCTCTCTTCCTCATCCTCCTGTCCTATGTGGACGTGACATTGAATTCTTGATTTTCTTGTTTGTCAAATCTTGAGTTGACATTCGATCTTTTTTCTGTTTTGCGGGGTGGGCGTTGCAGGAGCAGTGATTGGCTATCCGGTTGCTGGGAAAGTTCTGAGAGTCAATGATGCGTGTATTGGGACTAAAACTGCAAGATTTCAGTCTCTGGAAGTCAAGGTGATAGCTTCTGATGCTAATCTTTCTTCTTGAATTGTGGTGACTTTAGTATATGGGAGATGAGGGGTTTTGATGCTGAAGCAAACGGATGAATTGTTTGATGCATTAACTTCTTGGGTGTTTAGTGATGAGATGACTCTGAGTTGGTCCATACCAAATGAGGGTGCGATTTCCGCGAGCTTTTTGGAAATCACCTTTCTTGGACATCCCCTGCAAATTATGTAACCTGTGCTTGGGCGATTATGTAATCCATGGGCAACAGGGGTGGATTGTATCGATCTTTCATTTGGTTGTGAGCAATTTGCAGTTGGGAGAAGTTCCTTGGAAGTTTATCGGGTGGCTATAACTTCGTGCAAGAAATCAAGCTGGATTACGCCACAGTGACAGTGAAAAGTATTGCGCCATTGATATTCTGGCTATTTGAATGGTTTGTACAACATAGAAGGATTAATCACATGATTGTTAGCTTGAACAAGAGGGCAAATATGGAGAAATAACCTTTCACAACAAAAGTAACATGTAAAATGGATATTCGTTAGATGAGTCTTGTCAACAAGTGGCCCTAGAGCACTTGTTCACCATACTTAATAAGGAAACATCTTTACTTTCAATACACTGATTACACACAACACAAGAAAGATAGTGGATTGGAAATGACAAATTTTCTTCATTGAGGTGTTTTGACAAGTGACGTGAGGGCACTTCTCAACAAAATCCTTTTTGAATGACCTTTTTGAATTTGTACGTATTGAGTTTGTTCTCCATGATTGTTTTTTTGTTTCTTTGGCTTGAACATTGTCTCGTGGTTTTACAGGCTGCAGAGAATAGTCCAGGCACGAAAACCCGAAGCATTGTTTGTGCTAATTGTGATGGAAATGGTAATGGCCAAGTATTGATTCTTGAATACTGTTTACTGACTCCTAAATTTTGTCGTAATGTTCAAGACTAGCTACATTCTGCATAAAATCACAATGAGTGCTCTCCACTATCCACATCCACTATTGTAATACTATGTTATACACTGCCGATCTGTATACTGTGATGTAATATTTTGTACCTGACATGAACATTCTTTGCTGATATGCACATTTATGAGCTTATTGCTCCTGATACACAAATTATATCCATTGTATTACATGATATCTGAAGCATTGAATAGTAAGCTTTCCTTTTGGAGTATGGCCTGTAATTTTTAACACGATGTTAAGATTTCCTCTGTGCTTATATGGCAAATTCTTATGATAAATGGACCATCATACAAGTGTTTTTCTACTTGTTCCACTGCTCAACATGAAAAAAGTCCCTGAAAAAAAGAGTCCCTTTGAGATGCAACATAGTTAGGGAGAAATGCACTCACATTTAGAGACAAGGCAAACTGTTTTCTTGGTTTCTCTCATCTTCCATCAATTGGCTGTCGTTATGGTCGAGGACGAGCTTTCAGAAATATTCAGAAAAAAAATTCCGAGGAAGTGGCATCTGGTGTCTCTATTTGTTTAGTTCATCTGATCATAGAAACTTGAAACTCGTCTACTTGGATGATCATTTTCTGTGCAAAAATGTCGGGCTTGCTTTATTACCAAGTGCTAGTATTCTAGTGGGATGCAGCGCGGTATTTGGAATAGAAGATTTTGATTTTCCTCCGTGAAACCAGGTGCAGTGCAGTGTTCCCAATGTGAAGGGACTGGAGTAAACTCTGTAGACCACTTCAACGGACAGTTTAAAGCCGGCGCGATATGTTGGCTTTGCAGGTACTTGAGCAATCTCTCTCTCCCATATGTTTAGTCACGGTACCGATTTGCTTATGGCCAGTTTTAGCAATATCTTTTTCTCTTTCCTTTTACCCTCAATTCATGATGTGGTTTTAACTTCGAATTTGTTTTGCAGAGGCAAAAAGGAGATGTTGTGCGGGGACTGCAACGGAGCTGGTTTCCTCGGTGGATTCATGAGCACATTCGACGAATGAATTTCTTCTTTTTCACTAAATTCATTATTTTCGGTAATGTGCACGAGCCTCAGAATACAATTTCCCTTCATAAGGATAGTACGCAATGTGCTGTTTTGAAGTCCCGATAGGAGAAGGATGATGTCCGTTATGTACCAAATACATTCAGTTCTTTAGTGTTCTCATATAAGCTTATATATGGAAGAGGTATTTGATGGAGTGGTTAAGGCACGACAAGACTGGAACATATTTTCTTTCGAGCCGATGTGATCGGCAGCGTTGAGTTGACGTCCTGTCGTGGTTCGAGAAGAGACGCCGATCTTGCAACGGCATCCTTGTCGCTGGTCATAGCAAACCCTTCTTGGGCAAGTCCTCGTCCATCAGTCTTGGCCATAATTCTCAAGCTTGGCAATCCGAAGCTCCAGCGTTGCGAGTTCCATGCCTTTTCTACGCACAGTCACACAGACGCAAATCATTGACAAGCATAAAAGTTGAAGAAAATTTGAAGGGGAATAACGGAAGTTAAAAAAAACAAACATGGCCATACTCATGATAAGAAAATGGAGTAGAACTCGCGCCAGGTAGGGGTCGAACCTACGACTTTCTGCTTAGGAAACAGACGCTCTATCCACTGAGCTACAGGCGCTGGTTTTGACACTCTCATACTAATATTTTATTCTTCTATTAGTTTCTTACCCAGCACCTGCTAGTAACAGGAAGAGAGGATAGGGATCTGTATGATTCAATTGTACTCGAAAATGTCTTTTTGGGAACTTGGTGAATCTATGTTCGTCATAAGCTGACTCGCCATGGTTTCGAATGAGACCGAAGTGAACTGTTCCAATTTCAGTTCTTGGTTTTTCCATCCTTATGGATTATCCTCAAGTACTAGAAAGTAAAAATGATATTTACAAATAGATTGTCGTGTTAAGATCAAGGAAGCATATAGTGCTAACGATATCAATGATAACAATAAAATTTTGATTCTATTTGAATCTTTTCAATTGTTTCCACGACTACCGTCCTATCTATGTTGAAACCCCAAATGGACCCACCATCCTGAAATGACTTGAACCATCTCGAAATTCCAATTTGTTTGAATTCGATTAGGCTATTTCGATGAATCTCTTGTGGACAGTCATATGGTAAAATAATGGCTCGATAAGATGCAATCAGCTTCTAATGCGCACTAAGGCCCCGTTTGGTTCGACTTTGGGGGAATGCTTTTGGGGGAATGCAAATACCTTTGAGCTAAAGGGATTTTCCGAAATGCAAGTAGTGTTTGGTAAGCGTTTTTTAAAATCTAAAGGACTTTTGCTAATTTTTTTTTTTAAAAAAAAAAGCTCCGGTTGACCTACACCGCCGGCCACCACCGCCGGCCAAATCTGGTCGCCGGCCAACCGCCGACGACCAGATCTGGTGGCCGGCGACCACCGCCTGGGGTCTCGCGACCCCCAGGCGGTGGTTGCCGGAGTCGGGCTAGCCCTCAGGCGGCGGTCGCCGGCCGCCGGACCTCGGTTTAGGGAAGATGACCAGTGTCGATGAATAGTGCAAGTTGCATTCCGAAAATGCAACTTCCCAAAGCATCTCTGATGAAGCATTGGCCAAAGGTCCTTCGGTAACATTCCAAATGTAATTGCATTTCTCTAAAGTGAGTAAAAAAAATTGCCAAACACCATTTGCATTTGGCCAAGGGACTTTAGAGCCCAAATGAGCATTGGGAATGCTGAACCAAACGGGACCTAAACTGTTTTGAAGCCTCTTTCTAGTGAACATACGCCATGAAGACTCGTCTATGTTGCGTTCGTGACATGACTCGACCATAACCTCCTCACTGTGCAATCCATCAAAGACTCGGCCTTGTCGGAAAAGGGTTCGGAACGAGGCAGGAGTTTAGGAGGTTAGGGTTCAACCCTAACAAGAACATAACAGGCACAGTAACACTTCGCACAGCCAGTGTTCCAAGATACTGCATCCTAAATCCCAATCAGATACTCCATCAATAACAAACACTCCACACGCTAGTATACGTCAATGTAAAGTCAAGGGGCAAAACCATTCATAAACGAAATTCATGTCTCCCTATATGCGGGAGACATTAGCTTCATAAATCAAGAAACGATTAGCCAAGTTTTTCAATGTGAAAAGTTATGTACAGCAGAACCTTATGCTCCGCGTGAGGAAAAGAATTCAGGGGTCACATTTGACAGGTTAAAACCAACACATCGAAGGACTTGCTTGCGGTTTGCAAAGAAATTGTGCAGGTCCAAACACAAATGTAAACTGTCAGGCTTTTTGCCCCATTACTTACAACAGATCGGTACAACACTTGGTTTTCATACGCACATCACAACAGTATCAGACGAAGAATGTCGCCAGAGTACTTGAATGATTTCTCAGTCTCTTCCAAGCAATGGTTCTTCTCCTCTCTGGTCCAGCTCTGGCGACACGACATGTGAAATTACACGTTAAACACCAAAACAAGCAGTTTACACGTCAAAACCATGGAACTAAGTTTTTCATTTGAATATATAATAGCGGAGACCATTTACAGATCTAGTCTCATAAATAAACGATTTAGATGAAGAGTGCCGAGGAATTACTTCAGAGACTTTGTTCAGCTTGTCCCTCACATTCTGCAATAGTTGGGGAAGTTCACCATCCCACTTATAGAACTCCAACTCCTTGTTATCAAGTATCTTTTCAGCCACCTAAAACAAGATTAAATTTAGAGATGAATGAAATGTCACTTCCGTAAGCAGATCGAGCATATAAAAGATACTCCAGAAAAGTCGGAAGATGCTCAGGGAAGTAGACAGCAGGGTAGGATAACGATGCCAATGAATCTCGAAAAGTTTTCGTAAAACCAATCCTTTCTCTGAGTGAAGGACGGGTTATCTGTCACTCACCTCCTTCCGAATTGCCCTTGACATGGCAGATCAGATATAGATAACTTTTTATACTTTTAGATGGATGAATTGGGTCCCGGCAGATTCTATAAATAAAAAAGATTGGCTTTATACTTTTGGCGCAGTTGAAAGATGCTCATCGAGGTAACTGCTTTTTTGACAGACTATAGATTCTCTCTTTGTGGATGAGCTCTTAGGGGCTTGGAATCCTATATATGGCTTTGGCAACCCCCTGGTGCCTCTCTACAAAATTATATTTAATGATCAAAGAATAAATTGCCTATTGCCATCTAATTCTAATTCAACATTGTACAACACATTCTCCGTAGGATCCAAGAAAAAGATGACAAATTTAAAAGACCCACAACGCATAAGAATAAGCACAGCTTTCAATATCCACGTAAAGGAGGGGGAGGCAGAATGGTTGAGTATTCGGTGGCATTCATAATCTTTAAGCTAACATGCAATTTAGTTTCTTCTGTTTGGACTAGCCTCGAGACAGCATATTTGACCTCTTCGAGTATGAAGAATATCCATCTAATACACTGATTTATGCACAAATGAATTGAAACAGAAATAAACCGATTGATTTCAAAGCCTTAGGGCTTTACCTTTTTCCCAATCATCCGACCACCAGCACTGTGGGCAAAGTAAACATTGTAGAAGTGACAGATGAATGCTTGAGGATCTGTCTCAGACAATTCTTTGAGATAACGGGCATATGTCACCCCGGGTGAAGAAGGTTCAGGAATGTTATAACCTTGCTCTTTGAACCACTCCAGATCCTTCGCCAGTTTTTCTGACCTCTCCAAACCAGTATTTCTGAACTCAGCATCTATACTCAAAACAATTCAAAGATTCCTATTGGCTCAGGGTCATGACTAAGGTCAAGATAAATGCACACGGAAAGGAAAAACAGGTGCATATGTATGTCAACAAAGGTCAGTCCTAATTTCTAGCATTTAGCAGGTTGCAGTGAATTCATAGTGTCCTAAAAATAGGTAAAGTTTATTCTCAAGTCACAAAATTAAATAAAGACCAAGTGGATTTGTTTTTTCTTTTCTTTTGGGAGAAAGTTGAAAAACTAAGGACTTGTTCCGAAAGGATCCTGGAAATTATGTACAGAATATGTTTGAAGTTCAAGCACCAGAAGAACAGTTTTCAAGCAGATTTTCAACTAAGAAAATGCAACAGCCAGATAATATTCTGATTCCACAGAACTAGTTGTTTAGAATGAGGACCGTGTTACATAATACTTCTTCGCATTCGTGTCTACAACCTAGAACAAGAATAGGTAGATAAAAATCAGAGAAGTTATTTTGCTAATCACGTGTTAAGAGTACAAAGTACCCCCCCTTCTTCGTTTCCCCAAAAAACAGAAGCACCTCCCAATTAAACAAAGTGATAATAATAAACAAGCACATTTGAAAAGCCAATTGCAGCATTCTCACATGGAAAAGAAAATGGTTCGAGAACCAAGAATCCAACATCCTAATTCTACGTTCCTTTAAGATCCTAAATCACAATAGACCAGCTTTGGCTGGCAATAGACACAAAATGGCATTACTAATATCTGAGCACTAAATGTGGACTGCAATGCAGAGGAGTCCTACTTCTGAATGAAAACAAGAGGTTTGATGCTGCTTTATCTGCTGCCAGCAATATACCATCAAAAGAGCTGCAAATCTTAAAAAAAAAAATTTAAACCGAGAAGAACATTTAATGTGCATGACCTTGCAGGAAGAAATCCCCCATCACACACAAGAAAAGAAAAGGACAAGCTTTTGAACAAGTTCATCCAATGCACGCATTCGCTAAATTCGTCAGGCAGAAAGAAACGTGCCATTGCGTGTTTCAAACTGTTAAGAGACTCGATCATTCCTCCTCTGCTAAGACTACAACTTTTTCGCACCATAATTTTCAAACAATGACTAGTTGCAGCAATAAGACACAGAAGCAAGAAAATGGCACGGCACACAAAGAAACTCAGAAAGGAGCGACACCTTTTTCTGCTAGGAGGGAAACCACTAATCCTCCTTCAGGATAAAAGGAAAAACTATCCAACAATCATCCGTATCTGAGATTAGCTTGACATCTAAACAGCCATATATCTCTAACAGGTCCATCTCACCATATCAAAAGCATCATCCAACCACTCAAAACCAGCATCCCAATAATCATAAGTCATCACAACCACACAAAATCAATCAGACCTGATCATAACACCGAAAAACAAACCAAGAACCAATGACAACCCCAAAGAAACCACGAACAAATCAACCACACTCACAGAAGGGGAAAGCAGAATCC